GTCCTGGGATCAATCCCCCCCCACCACCGCTCCTGCTTTTTCTCTCTCTCAAATAAATAAATAAAATCTTAAAAACAAACCCTGAAAATCTAGTTTGGACGTTCCTTCTTTCAGAAAGCTTATCCCCATCCCACCTCAAGTCTAGGTTAGGTGCTCCTGGGCACAGAGAGGTACTCTAGCTATCAGAGCACTTATAGCTATCCATATTGTAAGTGTCACCTCCTTCACTGAAGTGAAGCTCTATGAGGACAGAGACTATACCTGTCTTGCTCTCTGAGGTAAACCCACTGCTTGACACAAAGGAGGGGATCAAATTTTTTTAGACTCACATGAGAGTTTAAAAAATTTTATAGAAGCTGTAATAGAATGTGAGCTTTGGATATAGACAATCAGGATTCAATTCTCTCCTGACCCTCTTAGGCACTGCCTACCAGGCAGTCGTCTGTCCTCAGCCACCTTCCTTATGAGCACTTCCTTGGCAATCTCAGTCTGGCTTCAATTTCCAAAGGCTTGCTGCTGACTCCCAGGTCCTACTTCTGCCCAGATACCTTTTTCCTGAGACACTAAACATGCCATAGCCTGCATCAACCTTTCTAGAAAGTGAACTCCATTCCCTAACCCCAAAACCTCCCATTTCTTACTTCAAAATAAGTATCCACTTTATCCAGCTGCCCAAGCCTGGAAACTACAAGTCATCTTTGATTGTTCTCCTTTACCTACTGTGTCTAATCAAACATTAATTTTTATTTATTTTTAAAGATTCTTACTTTAATCTCTACACCCAACATAGGGATCGAACTCAAAACCCTGAGATCAACAGTCACAAGCTCCACTGAATGAGCCAGTCAGGCGCCCCTCAAACATTAATCTTTAAAAAAAACAACAACAAACTATTTCTTGAGTCCTTATTGCATGCCACGTAATGTACTAAGTAAGGGTTTTACCAGTATTCATTCATTTACTCTTCACTGCAATTCTGTGAAGTAGCTGTTATTACAGATGAGTAAACTGTGGCATAGCTAAGTAACATACCCATCACAGTTACACAGTTAGCAAGTCACACGGAGGGGATGTGAACGCAGGGAGTTTGGTTACAGAGCCTATGCCCTTAACTGCCCCAAGTTTTGTAAATGCTTTTTGTTTATAAAGCATACATTTTTCTCTATTCTCAATGCCTTAGTTTTAGGCCACCATTCCCACTCTGGATTCCAAAATGGCCTCCTATCTGGACTCAACAACAATCCAATAATTCTTCTCATGCAGCCCAAGTAGACATCTGATCATGACCTTCTTCTTAATACCTTTAAATACATTTCCTAGGGTGCCTGGGTGGCTCAGTCAGTTGAGTGTCTGACTCCTGGTTTCATTTTGGGTCATGATCTCAGGGTAATGGGATTGAGCCCTGCATCAGGCTCCACACTCAGCAGGGAGTCTGCTTGAGATTCTCTCTCTCCCTCTCCCTCAGCCCCTCCCTGCTTGCATGCACACTCTCTAAAATAAATAAATAAATCTTAAAAAAAAAAAATTTTCCAATGTTCTGAGGATAAGACCTACTTCCTTTGCATAACACTTCAGAACTTACACATTGCCGCTAATTTCTCTAGCCGTATCTCTCATCAATACACTTCTTGGAGTCTGCCCTCTAGCCATAGTGAACCACTCACAAATCCTTGGCCGTATCTAAATCTCTGTACATGCTGTTCTCTCTGCCTGGGAAAATCTTTTCCCACTTCTCCTACTCCTGTTTGTCCTCCAGATCTCCACTAAGAGGTTATTTTCTCCAAGAAAATCACCCTAACCCCTGTCCCCCAACCTTCTCATGTCTGGGAAGGTGCCCCTCTCTTGTGCTCCTGTATCAGCCTTTACTTACTCCAATGTTGTTATATTGCACAGTTACTTGGATCCACTGGTTATCTCAGGGTTTCTCTCCCCTTTTCATGATTTCTGTACAAGGAGGGATTTTATCTTCATATATACTGTATGCCCATGCTAGTACACTGTTCTAACAAACAACAGGCAATTGATTTTTTTTTATTTTGAATTAAGGAATGAATCCCAACTCTACTTACTAAGAGCACCAATAGGCAAGTCACTTAACTCCCAAAGCCTCAATTAACTCATCTAAAGAACTGGAATCATATAACATTACCTCACAAGGCTGTTGTAAGAATTAAATGAGACACTAGACGATACTGTATGTACTCTTCAAAGTATAGAGTGCTACACGATGATGGCTGTCATAATCCTTTTTTATAAATGAAGAAACTGAGCTCCAGAGAGATGAAGTGGGACTTGCCCATTTGTCACTCAGCTTCTAAGTAACAAAGCTAAGACTCTGACTCCTAGTTTTGGGCTTTTTTTAGAATACCAGACTCAGGTGGTTAGGGGTTCGACTCTTGATCTCAGCTCAGGTCTTGATCTCAGGGTCATGAGTTCAAGTCCTTCACTGGGCTCCACGCTGGGCATGGAGCCTACTTAAAAAAACCAACAGAAATACATGATACCAGGCTCTACTTCATACCGACTGAACATTTCAAGTGTAAAGAAAAGGGGTGGAAATAAACTATATTTTTAGGTCTAACAACAAACAACAAAAACCATCAATTTGAAGATGAGAAAAATTAATCAGAAGCTTGGCAAGAAAATGGGAAAATATGTAATAGTATTGTCTAACACTTATATTGTGCTTAGTATATTAAAAGTGTTGTTCTAAGTGCTATGTGTATGTTAACTCCATCTTCACAATCATCTCATTACATTATTATTATCCACCTTTTACAGAATTTCTATGCTTACTAAACTTTACTTTCATTTTTTAAAAAGATTTTATTTATTCACTTGAGAGAAAGAACCAACCAGCGGGGGGGAGGGGGGGGAGTGTGTGTGGGGGGGGGAGAGTGAGAAACAGACTCCCCGCTGAGCAGGGAGCCAGACACAGGGATCCTTCCCAGGACCCGAGATCATGACCTGAGCCAAAGGCAGATGCTTAACGATATGAACTACCAAGGTGCCCCTACTTTCATTTTTTTTTTTTAAAGATTTTATTTATTTGAGGGGCGCCTGGGTGGCTCAGTCGTTAAGCGTCTGCCTTCAACTCAGGTCATGATTCCAGCGTCCTGGGATCAATCCCCGCATCGGGCTCCCTCCTCAGCAGGAAGCCTGCTTCTCCTTCTCCCACTCCCCACTGCTTGTGTTCCTGCTCTTGCTATCTCTGTGTCAAATAAATAGATAAAATCTTAAATAAAAAAAAATTTATTTGGGGCGCCTGGGTGGCTCAGTCGTTAAGCGTCTGCCTTCGGCTCAGGTCATGATCCCAGGGTTCTGGGATCGAGCCCCGCATCGGGCTCCCTGCTCGGCGGGAAGCCTACTTCTCCCTCTCTCACTCCCCCTGCTTGTGTTCCCTCTCTCACTGTGCCTCTCTCTGTCAAATAAATAAATAAAATCTTTAAAAAAAAAAAATTATTTATTTGAGAGTAGGAGCAGGGGGAGGGGCAGAGGGAAAGGGAGAAGCAGACTCCCCACTGAGGAGGGAGCCAGACTCAGGACTCTGAGATCATGACCCGAGCCGAAGGCAGATGCCTAGCCAACTGAGCCACCCAGGCACCCCCCTACTTACATTTTTTTTTTAAAGATTTTATTTATTTATTTGACAGAGACACAGCAAGAGAGGGAACACAAGCAGGGAGAGTGGGTGAGGGAGAAGCAGGCTGCCTGTGGAGCAGGGAGCCAGATGTGAGGCTCGATCCTAGGACCCTGAGATCATGACCTGAGCTGAAGGCAGAAGCTTAATGACTGAGCCACCCAGGTGCCCCCCCACTTACATTTTTTAAGAGAAAAAGCACAGTCTCATTTTCACTCTTGGAAACAGTAACTGTCCTAGAAACAAACAGCTCTTTACCAAATAACTTATAGTGCTCAAGGGCAATAATACATTTTCTTGGTTTTGTGCTCTACTCCCCGGCCCTGAACTCATTTTATCTTATTCTACAGTGAGTATTCTATAGTGACTTTTCAATTGAGTCCGCACTAGTGTCTTACCTTCTGCCTGCAGAAGGACATCACAGAACACACCAGTCTGTTGCTGGTGATGAAGCTGCAGAAAAGCTAACCGGAGAAACCGGGGATTCCTGTATAGGATTTTGGAACTGGCGGGAGAGCACATGTTGGTCTCAACAAACCTCCTAGGTTTTCACAGATCAGATTCCTGTGGACAAGAAAGTATATTTCAGAAGAATGGCTGTACCTAATTTGTTTTTTGTCTTTGAAATGGTAGGAAAAATCTTGAAAGTGGGAGATAATAGCCACGAGCTGAGTTATCATAAGCCCAGAAATTATGCCAAGTCTCTCAAGAAATATCACAGTGGTTACATGTGGGAGCTTAGAAGCAACTGTAGATTTGAATCTCAGTTCTATTATTTATTAGCTTAGCTGTATAATCTCAGGCAAATGACCTAGCTTTTCTGAGTCTCACTTTTCTCATCTATGAAATGGTAATGATAACAGTACTTACCTGGTAGGGCTGTTTTAAAGATTAAATGAGTCAATGCAGGTAAAATTGCTTAGCACTGTGAGTGCCTGACACATAACTATCACTTCTAAAATGGTAGCTATTGTTGTTATCCTTAAACCTTCTTCATTCACATTGCCAGACTCAGTGCCTACAGTGCTGACAACTCATATTCTTCCTGAGCAACACACTTCTGAGTTCCATAGGTATAATCCTCAATTTAACACTTTCAAAGAAACAACACTGAATGGAAAATTCTCTAGGAAGTTGTACACATCTTTTCTCTGAGCTCACTCTATCACACTAACCAGCAGAGGGTGCACAGTAAAGAAAAGCAGGTCCTGGACTTGGTGGGAAAATCTCTCACAGAAATAAGGACGCTGCCACCCTTGCTTCAGATGTTCTTGACCAAAGCGAGCCTAATGCGGCCTGGAAATTGGCAAAGAATCTGGCCTTTAGGTTTGTCAGTCTGCTTAATCGCCTGGCTAACAACGGAGCAGGGATAATTAAGCATTCTACCCTTCCTGATACAAGCTGGATATTCTGAATTCAGGCTTACTCCATTTCCAGCTTTTTGCACTGAAACCCCCACACTCACTGCACAGCTGGTGTTCCTTTCCTGGCATGCAGTTTTTTGTCAGGTGGCACTGAGGATCTGAACAGTTCCCGTCAAACTATCAGGAAAGAAAAAAGTGGAAAGGTTAACTAAGAAGGGGTAGGCTCAATTCCACTTTCAGCCAGAGAGATGGGGGCGGAGGATGGCTGCTCTTGCAAGGTCCCAAACAGAGGCTCTAGGGAAGCTTCCCAACCCACCAGCACCCGGCCTTGCCCCCAGACCCAACCTGGAATAGCTCTGCAGTCGGAGTTGCGCTTGCCGACCTCTTTGTGCTTGGGTCCTCTGTCCAGCCTGCCTTGCTTCCTCCCGAAGTCCAGCCTCGTGCGGGAAGGTTTAGCAAAGCAGCTCAGGTGGGCCAATGGCCTGAGGGTTCCTCTCCCCGTCCAGAACAGAGGAATCGGGGGTGGCGGAGAAAGCTGGGCGTCAGGGAAGGCCCTGCAATGCTGGGCGTCCCGCACGCTCTGGGCGCCCCGGCCCAACTCCTTTGAAGAGAGACCTCTGGGCGCGAAGGTTTCTGGGAATGGAGCGTGGGGTTCCTGGAGGCCCGAATTCAGGGCTCACCGTCAGCACCGCGCCCGGCCGCACGGGCTTTGCAGCCACCCCCTGTTGCCCTCTTACCTCCGCGGGCCCCGCCACGCTCCTGCATCGGGACGTGGTGACAGCGAGCGCCTGAGGCCACGCGGCGCACGCCACACACCTCGCGCCACCGTCCTCGCGCACGGCGCGTCGCCGGACCCGGCGTCCTTCCTCCTCCAGCCCTCGTCCTGACGTCTGCCTGAATACGTCATCCCCATTGGCCGAAGGCTCCTCGGACGGCCAATCACAGGGACAGGAGCACTTTGGGCGGGAGGCTAAGTCTCGAGGGACTTGAGGGCTAAGCCAAGATGGTCGGGCTGCGAGAGGTGGGCAGGAGAGCCTGCTCGGGAGGGAGCCTGATGGAGGCCGTCTTTTTCCTCGGCACTGGACGAAATCACAGTGACAAGAGAGTCAGGATGCCCCAGTAGGGCAGGCTCCAAGGCGGTTGCAGGACACCTCTGTCTTCCCGTTGAAGAGGCTGTCGATAAATGGCCCTGGCCCTGTGAGAGCGCCCCAGGCTTCCCGGAGGAAAAAGCCCGTGGATGGCTCTCCTCGCACCTTGACCAGGTCTGTCTACTCTGGTTAGATCCTTAGTCCAGGGATGTTCGGGAACGAGGTCTTTAGGCTAGTGTCTGAATTCAGGCTTTTCACAGATTCCACTCCACCCTAAATCTCGGAGAACTGGTGCGACCAAGGGGGTTGCAGAACTTCCCGCGTGGAGTGGCCTCCGGTGTCCTTCCAGAGGTGATTTATTTAGCGTACCTGACTGGAAACAGCTGTTTTCAGGGGTGATATAAAAAAGTTAAATGATTTCACGATTAAATGTTTAGAGAGAATGCCAACGCACGTTATAAATATGGACATTGGTTCTTACGCGCGCGTGCGTGCGCGTGTGTGTGTGTTTGAGGATCTGGGGCCTGGTTTCGGTCAGATGCCCCCGCGACGTCCAGATCTAGACGAAGATGGCCGCGGTTCTTACGTGTGTGTGTGTGTGTACGTGTGTGTGTGTGTGTGTGCGTATCTGGGGCCTGGTTTCAGTCAGATGCCCCGCGACGTCCAGCTCTAGACGAAGATGGCTGAATCCGAAGCCATTGGTGACGGAGTGTGGTGAATTAAAACGGAGCAACTTCCCCTGAGGCCAGCTGGAGGCCGAACTTGAAGATGCCTGAGAGAAGGGGAACTTGCAAAGGAACAGACGAGAGTGTCGAGAGGTGAGTAGTACGGTGCGCTCAAATACATCTTTGTTGATATCTAACACCTTTTCAAAAAGGATTTGAGGAGTATGTCAATTATACTATAATTAAATATTTTTAAAGGATTTGGGAAGGTTGAGTGAAATATAGGGGGGTGGGGTGCATTTCCAAGTCAGGTAATATTTTCCTAGTTTGGGGCCTGCTCTCAAGGTGGAAAAAAGATCAAGGAACAGAACACATTTTCGGCTGCAGTTATGTTTTGAAGAGGAAGCAACTCGCGAAGGGACATAAAACTTAGCAGAAAGAGGATACACACAAGCAAGTAAGAAAGAAAGAAAAAAAAAAAGACAAGACAGAACAGTGTTTGTTTATGGCATCTTACTGTGGAATCAAGACTTGAGTGGGCAGGTGAAATACCAGTAGAAGTGACTCTGTGGACTTGTAAGAAAAATAGAAATATTATATCCCCTCATGAATTCACTGTTACTATGATTAGATTAATTTTCAGGAAATAGGACTCACATCTCGGTTTCTTTCTTTTTTCTTTTTTTTTAATCCAACACCATTTAGATAAATCTTGTGATGGTGGAGTTTCTAAAGGGAATGATAAACGGCCATCCTACCCAGGGCTTTAAAAGTGACAAACATTCGATGGTAATGTGTAGCCACCAGAGGGTAGAAACGAGTGAAAATATTTTGTCTTCCTTTGTATGGATAGCCAGTGCTTTTTGGAGTTGATTTTTTTTTTCATTTCTTCTCCTTGGCATTTATGGTTTTAGCTATTTTAGAAGTAGAGATAGCACAGCACTCAGCCCTACATAATAATTTTAATATTAAAACAATTATTTATTTTATTTATTTTTAATATTTCTATTTTGAATACAAAATTATTTCCTAGCTCTTCCCTAATCTTTTACCATATTATGGAATCTTGTTTTTCTTTGTGTGTTAAGTGGTGATGGCTGTGGTGGGGTGGGGGGGTAGATTACACTTTGAGAGTTGTAAAACCGAACACTGAATGTAATATTCCATGTGTTAAAAACAAAGCAAAACGAAAGAAAGAAAACAAAGGAAAGAAAAAAAAACCCGAAATAAAAAACAACCACGTATCTCTAAACATATCCTCAACCCATTGGCTTCTCTCCATTTTTACTGCTACCATTGTGGTCAACTCCGTATTACTGCAGCTTGACCTTCAAACTAATTTCCTTGCTTTCACCCTTGCCCCTCTTTACTCCATTTGTCACATAAGCAGGCAGATCTTTTCAAAATCTGAGTTAGATCATGTTATTCTGCTGTTGAAAACGCTCACAGGCTTCCCTCTATCTGAGAATAAATTAATCAAAACTTTCTCTGACCTGTAGAATCCTTCATATTTCTATCACTCCCTCCTCATTTCGACACTCTGCTGGATCCAGCAGGTTTCAGCCTCACTTGGGGACTTTGGAATTAGTAGTTACCATTGCTCATAAGTTCTCATGGTTGGCTGCTTCTTCCTATTCAGATTTCAACTTAAATGCGAAACTCTCTGGAGAGTCTGTCCTTGACATCCAGTGTAGCACAAGTCACAAGTCATTCTCATCAGTCTGTTTTAAATTTCTGCTTAGTGTTCCATCTGACATTTATTGATCTTCTCTCTCCCTCCACTAGAATGTAAGCTTTCTGAGAGCAGGGAACTTGTCTACTCATTATCTGAAGAGTACCTGGCTCATAGTAGGTGCTCAAAATAACCCAGGTGGAACTCGTCTTTTTACTTTGGGTCACCTGAGTCCACTCAGGTGTAAAAAACAGTTTTTCCCACTGAGTATTAATCCTTGTGATGCTTTATTTGAAGACAGCTGTTTCAGATAGATTTAACAAGTTTTTCACCACCAAGTTATCTTTTTTTTTTTTTTAAAATAGGCTCTACACCCAATGTGGGGCTTGAACTCACAACCCCGAGATTAAGAGTCACATGCATTACCAACTGAGCCAGCCAGGCGCCCCCTGAGTTATCTTTCTTGATTTGTATATAATTTTATTTCGAATGTTATCTACAAATTCATTAATATAAAATGACTTACCCAGGATTACATAACTGGTAAGCCAAGAGACTTCATTTACTCATCCATCTGTTGCTAAATGTGAGACATTAGGCTGAGCTCTGGGGATACACCATGAACTAGAAAGACACCATTCATGTCTTCATAGAGCTTATCTTCTGGTGAGGGAGACGGGAAAGCAAACACAAAAGGAAGTCAAAATACTTGAAAGTTTTTAGTAGTGATGTGAAGGAAACAAGATCAATCTATCTCTAGAAGATCATAGAATATTCTAGAATATGGCTCTGATCTAGGAATCAAAACAAATGTTTCTTCCCCCCCCCCAAAAAAAAACATTTCTTGTGCTGGTTGTTTTCCTTTGGCAATCATCTTTGGCTTTTGAACTTGCTATGGAGGATCGGGAATACTAGATGTTAAGTAGAGGTAGAAGATGTGATAAGAGGGATGCCTGGGTGGCTCAGTCGGTTAAGTGTCTGCCTTCAGCTCAGGTCATGATCTCAGGGTCCTGGGATTGAGCCCGAGTCGGGCTCCCTGCCCAGCAGGGAGTCTGATTTACCCTCTCCCTCTGCTCCTTACCCCACCCGTGAATGTGCGTGCATGTGCGCTCTCTCTCTCTCTCTCAAATAAATAAAATCTTAAAAAGAAAGATGTGATAAGATAGTAGAAGATTCCTAGATAATGAGAGTTAAAGGTTGTTCATTTCTCTGTTAAATGTATTCATTTCCCAGTCTGGTTTGTTTAAAGCCCACCAAACAAGTGCTGGGATGCCTGTTTGAGAGAAGTCCTTTTCTTGGCCACTTGAGGTCAAATATAAGGGTCTGTGAGACTGTAGACAGAATATGATGGGGTAAATAATGACTGGATCAGCTTAATTAGAAGGGCACATACTGAGGAGAAGTGGAATTCCAGTTTAGATAGCTAAGGAAAGGTCAGATTATGGTTAATAAATGTGACTTTAGTGTATTGAATGAATACACTTGAAAGCAGACGAGGAACTTGGCCTTTACCCTGACCACAGTGTAAAGTGATGGAAAGAACACAGGTTTTGGAGTCAGATGGATGAGGGGTTCACTTCTTAGCCAGATGATCTCAGGCAAGTTTCCTCACCTTGTTGAACCTTGATTTCCTCATTTGTGAAATGGTGGTAGTACTATCTCCATGGTGTTGTTTTAGAAGTTAGAGACAGTGAGTGCAAAGTGCCTTTCACATGATAGATGCTCCGTTATTGTTTGCTCT